ACAGGAGTTCCTGAGGAAAAGGTGTGTGGATGCAAGAATTGGATCGATAATTAATTTGCTAGTTATGTAATAAGCATCTCATACATTTAGCTATTTTAGTTTGGGGTCTTTTTTTTTTTTTTTTTTTTTTTCTGATAAATATCTCCTGTGAGGACTCACTTGCAATTTGAAGTATTTGAAGAAATATTTTAAAATCTCATCCTTCTCCATCTGTTCTCCCTGAAATGATGTTGCAACTCAAAATCATATAAATATTACCATATCTTCAGTTCTAGAAGATATTTGTGTTCAAACACACATCTATCCATTTTAAAATCTTTGTTGGCTAGTATCCAACTATGTGAGAACTCAGAAGTGAAGTCTGCAAACTGCTGATGAAGACTAAGCCCAAATTGCATAATCAAGCAGTAAGGTCTGGCAGAGATATGGCAAGGATGGAAGTAATCCTTCTTTGGAAGTGACAGAATTATGCTAGTGCTTCTGGAAGAACATGATATCTCTTCAAGCATGGTAGGATTGCTTCTGTAATGAAATGGGCTTTTACTAGTCGCTAATTACCTAAATGAATAACTGTTCAAATAATTCCATGAGTGGCCTTTACAGTCAACAGACTTTGTTTTCATTGTTGAATAACACACTTTAACCTTTTTGAAAGCTTAAAGGTTGTGCCCTGTGGAAAGATAAAATGCTGATTAGAACATATATTGCAGGTTATGAAAATAGTGGTCTGACATCTTCAAAAACTTTTAGTTCCAAATATTCTGACTACTTCTAAATTCAACCGAAGGGAATTGAAAGCTTCTGCTGAAACTGGATATTTTTGTTCAGTTTTTATGCTGCAGCGTTGATATTGAGTAATACGGACTAACAAAATGTCAGTTTATTTTTGGTTTTGAGTCTTCTCTGAGGCAAATGCTGCTCGTGTTGTCCGTCTTCTTTTTAAGTATGATTTCAACATTCTTGACATCAGTAGAGTCCCCTTTCCAATATTTTGTCTGGGATTCCAGCAAAGTTGGTATGCACCATAAACGTTTTCTGTTAATGTTTTAAAGTAATTCTAAAGCAAGGAGATTAAGTGGATGAAATAGTTGGAGAATGTCAGTATTTGCTTTGGAAGAAAGACAATGGATATTGTCTGTAATTCAAAAAATATAAGCACTGTTTTGAAATATGTAAGTCCAGGTTTTAAGACTTAAATGAATAAAACCGCTCTGTTAAATATCTTTGTGATGCACTAAAATTTTATATTTATTTATATATTTAGGTTTCATATTTATGTAAAGCATATGTTTTAATTATTACTTGAATGTGAATCGTAGTTTGACCTTATTTAAGTACATAGATGAATAGGCAAGTTCAAACTAGGATGTCCTTGGCATCGAAGTTTGCCAGTTTCCCTAGGCTGATTTCTTAGTCAGGAGAGAGAAGTGACCTCATCTATGGCACAATTGGAAGGACTGAAGTTCTGCTGCAGTCCTGAATTATGCCTTGTAGGAGTCATTCCGGTGATTGCCTTTGGATAGGATGGTAATGGGACTCTTTGTAAACTATGATGTATTTAGAAACCTGTGAACACCAAATACGTGATGAGACTACTACCAACATATTTGGTGTGCCAGAGCAAAGGTGATATACTTTGAAATATTTTATACTTACCTACACTTTTCTAATGTTACTGATACATTGTTAATAAATGTGGAGAAAATATTTTTTAGCACAGATACTACAATTTGTCACATAAATGATCTGTCTCTTTAGTTAGACCTTTCGTTTTAATCTCAGTGTGGTTATCAAGCAATGCACAATACAGACTTCTTTCCAGCGAGACAGGTTGTTTTGCCTGGACTGGCCTAAAGCATCAGTTACTTCTCCACTAACTTTGGAGTTTAATATTTTAGAATGGAAAATATTGCACATACTTGCAACCACCATGAGCATAATCTGATTCTTTCATCCCTCCCCCTCTTTGTTTTTTTTTCAGTTCATAGCAGCCAATGACAAGCTATGGTTTTGGCTAGAAGTTAACTCAGTAGTAGATTTCTTCACGGTCCCTCCAGTGTTTGTGTCAGTATATTTAAACAGAAGTTGGCTTGGTAAGTAAAATGTTTTTTCCTTTTAATAGCTGTTATAAAAATGCTTGAACTTTTCACATTTTGATGGAGAATTTCTTCATCTTGTGGCATCATGTAAGCAGAAGAATGTTACCAAAGTTGTTCTGGCAGTGAATTTGCCATTTCAGCAGTCAGGTGGGTTATGTCAGAAAAAGCACTTACTAAGTCCATTTTGTTCTTGATTCATTAATACAGTCTCCTACTCTAAGGGGTGGTGAACTCCAGCTTGGAAGCACTGTGTAACATGAGGCCGTTTTTATAAAACGGTGAATTTGATGTAATTGACTCAGCTTACAAACTGACCAGGTGATCCAGACCATTCATTCACTGAACGGGCTTGCCATGAATCATTGTCAACAATGAAATCAACAAATTTGCTTCACATTTTGAGGCAATATAGCTAAATTTTAAATCCAAACAACAAGGATTTAAAATCCTTCCTGAAACAACAGGTTTGGAAGATTTGTTTAGACACTTACTGGGCTTGACATATGTGTAGGACTGCTAGGAATGCATTAGAAAAGAATATGCTACATGTAAAAGGGAATACAAAATGAAGCAGAGCAGACAAAATCAGTCAATTAAAGAACACCCATAACGTGGCATATGAAGTTTCTTGTACAAATTGCATATTCTCTCTAGTTAAGTAAAATGAAGGTCAAAATTTGGGAGGTTTTATTCAGGGAAAACTTCCTAAAAGTGGCATACTTTGTGAATGCCATGCCTTTAGACAACATATGAAACCTCACAATTTGACAATCCATTTCTCCAGAAATACAGGCACTCATTGTCCCTGAAAACTGAAGAGAGTGGTCATCTTAAATGTTTGACATGGAAAGGAAAATAAAGCAGAGGATCTTTTATAGTAGTATAATATTTTCAACTTGCTACAGAAGTGCAAAGATGCAAAAATTATTGATAAATTACTGTTGCATGAAAAGAAATTAATAACTATATAACCACATTAGAGCTCATACTATGTACATCAGTGGTTATTAGTAGGCCAAAGAAGTAAAACAGTAAAACAGCCAGAAAAGATCACTACAGATCCTCATACGATTACCGTCTTCATCACATACTTCCGTCGTGTACGTAAAATGAAGTAATGTGTTTTGAAGGAGAAAATGTCATACAGTTCCATATTATGATAGGAAATCAAATAAAAAAAGAAAGTATGCAAATAAAAAACAAGCTTATGCTCAAAAGAAAATTGCTGATTTCACTAGCTATAACTCAATCGCGGATTCTTTGCGTTATGTGAATTAACGGGATGTATTTTCACAGTTGAATGCGACATTTCAGAGTTTCCCAGAACTTTAAGATTGAAATCATTGGAGATGAAGGCTATCTAAGAGCAAAAACTAGAATTGCAGGATTAGTAGAAAAGGAATATTAAATGAGAAAACGGCAAAAACTGCAAAATTTGGGGAGTGAGGCAAAGAGATAATTATTTGAGATGAAAACCCTTTGTGAAAGTGGCTGCATAATTGACTGACTCACTGTGACACAGCAATATAACTAACAGTACCAACAGGAATAATGAGAGAGTTTGCCCATTTAGCAGTTTCTGCTGGATACTTTTTACAAGATTTATGTCATTTTGCAGGCAGAGTTAAGCATTGTACTTCTACTTATTCATAGGGTTGAAAGGATTTCCATCTCTCTTAATTACCAATGTCACTTTTTATTGGTTTCTTGTTTATAGTCCCATTTTACCTGTTTTCTCACAGAATCGTCCTGAGACATTTATCACCTGCTGAGGCACAGAATTTTTTTTTTTTATTTTTTTTTAACATACTCATCTTAGGAGTGACATATTTACAGTGTTTGAGCTTTGCACCTGCTTCCATTGTGTTTATTCCAAAAGGGTTTTCATTTTAGGGAAAATTATCCTTAGTGAAATAATTCACTAATGCAAAAATGTGAATTATTGGGGTCCCTGACATAGCTGTAATTTAGATCAGCAAATTATTATTTTGAGATGCTGTGATGAAAGAGTTTTTAAGCAAATACCCTGAAGTGTATTAATGAAAATTGTCTATTCCTTTACACCTTTTAAAGACATGGCAAAATTTACTCTGCCTGTGGAGCTCAAATACTTCAGACATACTTATAGGTAATACAGTGGCAGGACTGGGAGTGTGTGTGGAGGGGAAGGCCGGGCGTTTGGACCATATTATTTACAGTTTCAGGTTAGATGCCTACTTTTCCTTTTCCTTCTGTATAATTTTTGTAATTGAGAGTGATATCCTTGTGTGGAGGGTGATTCAGAACATCTAAGTTCTGGTTTCTGCACCAAGTGTCCCTGTGGAAATAGGAATCGGAGGGAGGTTAGCCTTCTAGCGAGGCAAGTAAATAGGGAGTGCTTAACGTTAGGCAAGGTGAAAATCATTTAACAGGTTCGGACTTCAGTGTATCCCAGTAATTCTTTGCATGTTTTAAGAATTTGTTACTGATTAAGCAGGGTTCCTTTAGATGCCTTAAATTTCAAGATCATTTAGGAGCCCAAATACAATACATTGTCTAGAATGTATTGTGCATCAGGGTCTTTCCAGTTTATTTCACTATTGATTCATGTAAGTCAGCTGTGATGAGTTCATCTAAGTACTAGACAGAGTGAAAGTCACCAGAATGCGGCTCCCTGAATTCTCGATTTCACAAGAACTGTCCTGGTTTAGCTAACCAACAATAAAGTAAGTACAAACACACAGTTTAAACAGCATTTTAAAAAACCCAAACCATCCTAAATAAAAAATAAACTTTGCCTTCGGAGCACTAAATGCTCATAGAAAGATGTAAAGTATAGCAGAGGACGTGTGGTCTGAATGTATCATCTTTTAATGTACTATAGTGGAAAGCCAGTGGGTTTTTTCCTTTTCTTACGCGAGTTCAGAAATGCCGCCATTCAGCTATTACGTAACTCTTAGTATGGGAAGCCTTCCACTTTCCCCGCTACTCTTTTGCGTTCAGTTGTTCGTAAAAATGTATTTTTTTGTATCTCAAAATGCTGTATGTGAACAAAATTTTCAGTCAGTATTCATGAAGGATGTTTCAAATCTGATCTTCCACCTAGGTTCCAGTATGCAAACAAAATTCAATACGCGTGATGGATCAGATCATGCTTTTCCATCAAAAGGTTTCTAGGAATGGTAGGGTGTTCACTGTCTAACGTACAGCTGAAGGCACAGCAGCACTTTAAGCTTGCAAAATACCAAATTTTTAGTTTTGACAAATCCTTTAGAAAAGGATTTCTAGGGTATCATTTTTGCTAGCATAGGGTAGCAGAGGAAAAGGAAGTACGTGAGCAGAATACAGCGGGCACATGGAATGACCTATGTATTATTGAAAGATTGGGGGAGAGTGGTGAAAGGGAAGAAAATTTTAATGAATCTGTAATTCAGTGATATACATTGCTTTGACAGTCAGTATAAAAAATTGTTATGCTCTCACTTAAAACTGTACAGCTACAAACATCAGTGTGTTTCCTGACGTTCATTTGCATCTAGATCCCCTCGACATTTTTCCAACAGTTTTGCGAACAGCAGCATTTGTGTAGATACTTACACATAAACTAAAGCTATGCTTTATAAAATCACAAATATTTCTTGCACAACACTGTACAAGAAACTTTCTGATAGTGATAGAAGAACAATTCTCCACTTCAAGTGCAGGCTTCTCTGGAGTGGAGAGAACCTTCCCAAGGGAAGACTGATAACAGAAAGGGTGGAGTTTCTGGCTCTTGAGATTTTACAGGTAATTTTGACAGTTAATTTCAACCAAATGATTTCAGTGCATTGCTGAGCCTGGATACTGTCTTTACAGTGTAAGTGAAGGCAGGCTAAAAAGGTTGTTGGATGAAAACAAAAAATTTGCAATGGGAGAAATCATGTCATGGTAAAACTCATTTTTTTAACACAAAGTTGTCATGATCTGAGTATCACAGCTAAGTTTCCGATCTTCATTTCTTTGGATAGCTTGCAGTCTGCCGAGTTGGAGAACCCTGCAACAAATGAACATCTTTAAGTTGTATTCAGTAATGATTCAAACACTCTACACACCACTTAAAACTGTTACTCTATCTTCTATGATAGCAAAGGCACTTCAAATAACTGAAATGCCTTTTATCATGTACTCGTATGCTTATGAAAAAGGAAATATTGATTTTATGAGCAGACTGTATTGGAATAAATTGCCTTGACAGGATGGTATTGTTAGAGGAAGATTAAACATGTAAAATATGATCTTGGCTTCACATTTACAAGGACATGCAAATGAGGAACAATCAGCCTTAGAACTACCGTGATTTAAATAAAGCCTAAATATGGATTTGATAGTGTCTCATATTATTGAATCACAGAAATTAAAGATAGAAAAGATCTATTAAACAATCCATTTCCTTTTCCTGACCGTGTGCTTTCAGTGCTTCATCTATTCTACTGTACAAAATTTAAGCGATAGAAACTGTTTGCTTCCTAACAGATTCTATTATCAGGAACATTTTTTCATCATCCTTCTTCCCTGACATCCCCTTTAATCTAGGCTGCTGCTGAAGCCATGCTATTTTTTCAGAAGATAATTCAAGATTTACAGTGGGGAAAAGAAGACAGAGAACAGATGCAAACGTAGATACACGCACAGCATAGTGAACAAATCTCTCTGTGTGGTGATTAGCATAGTTATGGAAAAGAGGGGATCCTTTTTTCCAGTCCTTGCTCAAATTCTGTCCAGGTCTGGTTACAGACATCTCAAGTACTTTTGGATGAGGCTTGTGGTCTCACTATCAATTCCTGGTCTGAGAAGACTGTTTCCAACATCTCTGGTAGACATTCAGCTGTTTTTGTGAGTCGGAGAATGAAATTGGTTTCCCTCTGTGGAAAGAGATAGATGGCTTTGGAGGAAGAGCAGTGTGTCTTATTAAGATAAAGTTGATGGTGTGAATGCCTCCTGGCCATCCAGCAAGTGTGCTTCAAGGTGAAGCTTTA